GCGTAGTGTCACTATTGTTATTATTAGGTTAATTACACGATGTTGAAGACAAAGGAGATTAGCCTCGACTTGAGACAAAATTATTAACTTCCACAAGTTGGGAAATAGTTACAGCACTATTTCAAATCGATTAGCTATCCCTAGATCTTCGGTACAGTCCGTTATAAAGAAGTTTAAACAGTCTGGCACGACAGAGAATTTGCCTGGGCGTGAAAGAAAACACAAATTGTCACCAAGAAATGAACGAAAACTGTTGTGAGGTTAATATAAACCCAAGAGTTGTTTTGATAGATATCGCCAAAAGTTTGGATATGATAGGTATCAGTATAAGTACTCTCACAATACAAGTTTGTTTAAATAGAAATTAGTTGTATGGAAACCGACCAGGACGAATATCTCTTCACAAATCATGTCACATTGTTGCTCAGTTTAATTTTGCCAAAATGTTCTTGGAAAAAATATATTGCTTTGGGGAACAGGTACTATGGAGTAATGAAACAAAAATTGATCTTTTTGGACATAATGATGTACAGAAGATCTGGCGCAAGAAAGGTGAGGCTTTCCTCCCAAAGAACACAGTGGCAACATTAAAACATGGAGACGGCTCGATGATGTTTTGGGGCTGTTTTAGACCAAGGACAATTAATTGCAATAAGAGGAATAATGAAATCTGCAGACTACATCAAAATTCTGGATGAAAATCTACAACTATCAGCGCAAAATCTTCATCTAGGTCGACGATTTACTTTCCAGCAAGATAATGATCCCAAACATACGTCTAAATCAGTGACAGCGTGGCTTCAGAAAAAAGATTATACTTCCGTCATGGCCTTCAATGTGTCTTGACTTGAATACTATTGAAAATCTTTGACAAGAATTGAAAGTTCGAACAAATGGTCGATCACCAAAGAACCTGCAGAAATTAAAATGCGTAAATATTGAAGAATGGAAGAAAATCCCAGAAAAGATTTGTCCAAATCTCATCGAAAACTTTAGAAAATGATTGTAGCAAGTTATAACGATGAGAGTCCATTCTATTGACTATTAATATTGTGAAAATTGTATTTAACCTATTGTTCTAAAAATTGTTTTATTTTCCTTTATTTGTGCTTATTAACATAGAAAATATCTGGTATCCTATGAGCATTAGATCCTGTGAAATGGATAAAAAAATATTCAATAATGATGGGTGTACGAATAATTTTGTCGTTGACTAATATATACACACACACACACATGTATATGCATATAAATACACACACACACACACACATATATATAATGTGTGAGTATTAATGAAAAAAAATTGTTATATTTGAGGAGGATCTATGTACTCCAACGTACAGCAACTGAAAAAGTCCTTAGTTCATCTCCTGGCGCACCGAACTATACAGGCAACTTCATTTGTAATGATTCTCACCAGTGAGTTCAGGCGAGAGACAGAAAATACAGCAGTTTTCGGTCATAGCATGGATAAAGGGAACGTTTCCTACACCGAAATCAGAGTTTTGGGCGGAGGCTTCCTTTGATACAATCAACGCTCACGTATCCGTGGGCAATGGAGGCCTTCAAGTCGTAGGATATCGGATACGGATTGCCTTGAAGAGATTCCACGGGTGGTGAATTCCTACAGTGTACGTGTATGGGGGGATTTCCAACATAAATTGAAGTTTAATATGTGCGGATGCTTTCTTCCATCAAGTGCTGGTTAGCTTAGTACGTCATACCTGGCCTAAGTGCGGCTTAGTACGTCATACCTGGCCTAAGTGCGGCTTAGTACGTCATACCTGGCCTAAGTGCGGCTTAGTACGTCATACCTGGCCTAAGTGCGGCTTAGTACGTCATACCTGGCCTAAGTGCGGCTTAGTACGTCATACCTGGCCTAAGTGCGGCTTAGTACGTCATACCTGGCCTAAAGTGCGGCTTAGTACGTCATACCTGGCCTAAGTGCGGCTTAGTACGTCATACCTGGCCTAAGTGCGGCTTAGTACGTCATACCTGGCCTAAGTGCGGCTTAGTACGTCATACCTGGCCTAAGTGCGGCTTAGTACGTCATACCTGGCCTAAGTGCGGCTTAGTACGTCATACCTGGCCTAAGTGCGGCTTAGTACGTCATACCTGGCCTAAGTGCGGCTTAGTACGTCATACCTGGCCTAAGTGCGGCTTGAGGATGCAGTCATTTTGTGTGTTCGCTTGAGTCATTTTATATATATATATATATATATATATATATATATATATATATATATATATATATATAAAATAAATACTTATTGAAATGTAAAAGTTTATCTGGTGAGTGACGGCAATGTCTACGCGCGTAGTTACAATAAAAGGCTATTCATTCTGCGGAGGTCGTATGGGTGAGTAGACTAACAAAGATGAATGTTTAACACATTCAGCGTTTGCAAAAGAGATCGGCATATACCTGGAACTGTGAAGAAGTTTGTTGAAGAGGTAGATGCAATTTATGAGAACACCAAACTTCCTACGAGTTCTTCAATTTGGTATCGTCAGACGGTAAGTTGAATTTTCTGTCCAAAGTTTCTGCCTACTATATATATATATATATATATATATATATATATATATATATATATATATATATATATATATATATATATAAAAAGTGTTGATTTGTGAATTTAATGATATCGTAATTGCAAGTTCAATCCGTAGACCGGTCAGTTTATACTTGGACTCAGTGGAAACAGGGCGTGTAAAATATCATCATGAAAAATGGCAATATACGGATAATGTAATATTCTTTTAGACTAAGCCAATACTTTAAACTAAACACATATAACTAACGCTCCAAAAATAAAAATGAATAAAATAAACCAAAACTTTAAATAAATAAAAAATTAATTAAAATATAAACAAATTAACAAACTACGAATGCACACATAAACACAAGTAAATTATTAATAATAATAATATACAAATAATATACAAATGAGTAACAAGTTTTAAAAAAGCATTATAAAATAGCTACAAATATCCATATTTGTATCCACAGTTATTTCTACTCAACAGCTTCTAGAATAATATAAAACATAACCGTATACCGCCCACATAATAACCGTTAGGATAATACAATAGACCTTACCATCCATAATGCACCATTGACCAGCATATATAAATAGTCGATCCAAAACACACTACGCATGGGCTAAAAACTAGGTTCAAGCATCAGACTCTAGCCGCTTGATGTTGACCTCAGTATCCACTTATATAACGCATTTTGCTCCGCTGTGGTTCTCACTCCCGCCATTTCTGTTGTAAATCGGATTCAAGTTGACATTCAAGGGAAAATAGTGTAATGGTTTGCCGGTCATTTTTGTACCGGGGATGTGGAGGTTACTCCGTTCCTCCTCTCAGAATTCCTTCCGCCTACTGATAAAAACGTTGACTTTTGAGGCGCAGCTCCTACGTCCAGCCTGGAAACTGGCCAATGGACGCTTGGCACAGGTTGGTTGAATAGTGGCGTTCCTCTTCACTGGTAAGTTAGGTAAACCCTTCCCACTGCTATCCTCCCACGGCAGGTCGATACCGTTGACAGAAGTGCGGACGTCGCATTGCACATGCGATTTCTTGGAGCCATGTGTGAGAGTTGGATGTATCCCAATTTATTTAATTATATATATATATATGTGTGTGTGTGTGTGTGTTAAAAGGAAGAAATAAAACGATGGTCGGTTACAATAGTACATCGGGAAACGCTGAAGATAGACGCTTAATTTCAAATTTAAGTTCTCGGCATCCGACTTTTCGAGATGTATAACTTAGTCGACATCGCTTGCATGATAAGAAGGTAAGTTTAATAGGGATTTAAATATAAATTACTTTTCTTTAGAATTTTATTGCTTCTGGCCTTTTGTTGAAGCCTTTTTGATGCTCATTTAAGATAAATACTGCTAGAAAGAATAAAAAATAGACCGACATTTTAAGCACTGTGTTTCTTATATTAATATTATTGTACACTGACTTGCACATAATAATGTTACCATTTTCGTTGTCATCATCACAAGGTTTCATTTTTCAAAGTTGGAAAACTTTCGTAAATTTTAAATCAATCTCTTTATTTCACTGTCCAGGAAAAGGAAGATATCATTTAATTCTACGTTGTCTATTCATTCTTGTGATGTCGCTTTGTTATTTTAAGATCGAAATGAACGGATAATCCCTCTGATAGGCACCGAATCTTGAGCAACTATTGAAACTTAAACCTGACATCAGGTGGAACTCCGCCTCCGATTCTCTATCTTTACAAGAGCCAGATCAGATCGAAAATGAAGTATTGCCGCCATAAATGAGCAGAAGCTGTACAACATTGACTTTCCAGTTTCGATAAAGTCCAAAAGCGTCTCCGCGTCCTTTTGGGTAATGAGTTATTTCCCACCCTGCAATCTCTTTCCCACGGACGAAATGTCGCAAGCCCATCGCTTCTCTATCGCTATTTCCATGGAAAGTGTCCAGATGAACATCATTCCTTAATTCCGTCAGTTCCAGCCTTCACCGCTAAGATCCACCATGCCATGCACATTCTAGCGAACCACGGTTATTCCTTTCATATTCCATTAGTGAGATGTTCCAATCGAACAGCTTCTTATCACGAACCGCTTCTTTCTGAAACTGACTCCCAAGAAGATGCTCCCACGATCACTATAATCTTAGCTTCCACGATCACTATAATCTTAGCTTCCACGATCACTATAATCTTAGCTTCCACGATCACTATAATCTTAGCTTCCACAATCACTATAATCTTAGCTTCCACAATCACTATAATCTTAGCTTCCACGATCACTATAATCTTAGCTTCCACGATCACTATAATCTTAGCTTCCACAATCACTATAATCTTAGCTTCCACAATCACTATAATCTTAGCTTCCACAATTACTATAATCTTAAACTGTTCAAGTCTAAGTTTAACCATTATCCTCCTCCACATATCGCCATAAACTGTGCCTCTTACTTTGTAATTCTTAGCTTCCGACTATTTCTCGTTGAAACACCGGTCCCCATAAGATCACCGAAGTTAAGCAACGTCGAGCTTGGTCAGTACCTAGATGGGTGACCACTTGAGAATATCAGGTACTGTAAGCTTGGATATGCTAGTGGTGTAATGGATAATGACTCGGAATTGTTTATCGGAGAGCGTAGTTAAAATTCCAGTTCAGTTTGTTATATTCATTTACACGCAAATACCTTTTAGGAAAAGATATAAGTTCGCCTCTCCTCCCCCAGCTATAGGTTAATTTGTAGGGCTTTATCCATTACACCACCCGTACATTACAGTACGTGGTATTCGCAAACGGTCACCCATTTAGGTACTGACCAGGCTCGATGTTGCTTAACTTCGGTGATCTTACGGGAACCGATGTTTCAACATGACATGACCGTCAGTAATATAGTTGTATTTGTTCTGAAATCAGTTTGTTTATTACATTTGTAGGCTCTATGGTAGACAACAGTGTGAGGAATTTTAACTGTGCAGAGCAAATTTCAACAAGCTTATAGTGTCAAATATTTGAATATTTGTCTTGACAACGAAGATAGGCATTTGGTAGAAAAACTAAGAATAAAAGAAAGTTACCGGAAAAAAAAATATTTTCGGATCAAGTCGTAAGTGCGCGTCTGTGTGTCTTTTGTTTATTTTTAAATGTAGTTTAGATTCCAACCAAATTATTGATTTCTCACTTTTATTTCCAGTATAATAATATTTCACCCAAGGAAATATGAAATTTCATTCCGCCGTTTCTTGCTGACTAAAGGGAATTTTTAGAGAGAAGAGATGTCTAAATAAAAATATTTTAGTGGAAAAATACCCAAATGCGTTCGTCGTAGTTGCTACGCGTATTTTTATCTATCTACCCTCTGTAATATATTGTGTGTGTGTGTGTGTGTGTTACTAGATGGATACTCGATGTTGCCTTGGAACAGTGCACGTTGTGGCGTCGTAAGTAGAAACTAATTTAAAATTTTGCTTAAATTATATTTCTTCTGATATATTTTCTAAGAAAAGTGGGCCATTATTTACCTGAGGTCAATAAAAAAAAAAATAAAAAAAAAACTATTCCGCTTTTATTTTCGATGAAAGACTGAAGAAAAGGATATATCAGAGATATTCTTTGGTTTTAGTGAGAAATGATGATGATAGTGATAATAATAGGAAGAAAGAGGAGGCGATAAAACTATTATAAGTTTAACATCTGTTTCGTTGAAATTAAAAACCTTATAAATTTCGAATCATTTTTTTTTTTTTTTTTTTTTCATTAACCCTGCATTAATTTCTACATCTTCATCCGGATAAAAGAAAATGCATTTCAGCAGGAAACCTCGGCTATAAGAATTCACTGATAATAGAGAAAAAGAATCTGTAGAAAGATTAATAGCCATGACATTAAAAAATATGAACATGGCCTCACGGAATACGTATATTTTTCCTGTAATTATTTTAAGTTTTGTAATGATTTATACTTGAATTTTTAAATGGTTACTGGTTTCTTTCTTAGTCTCTCGTTTAATCTATCTACATTTTTCACATTTTTTAACACTGGAATATAAACAGAAGTCCTTAATATCATGCAATAAAGGGAGTCATAAAAGCAAAATAAGCGTGATCCTTGCCAAACACTAGTATATTTTAAGAGACAGGTCGTCGTCTTTTTTAAAATTTTTATATCTTCAGACGGATAAAAAATGCTATAAACTTATTTCATTACGTTTGTGATGCTTGTCAATAATGCACGTTACGACTTTGTCTTTGATTTATTGATTTTTTTTTTTTTTACGGCTTATCAACCTTTTGTAGGCGATTTAACACAAGAAAATATTTTAAGATTGCAATATTATTTTTGATATAATAATGATTTACTAATATAAGTCCTACTAATTAAAACATACCTGGGGGAGAATAGGTGGGTTCTTACCTTTCCCAAGGCTATTAGTGAGTGAGTGAATATAACGAACACGACTGGAAATGAAAGTCGGTTTTCCGATTTCTAATTACTCCGCTAGCACATCCAAGCTTAAAACACCCGGTATTCTCAAGAGGTCACCCACCTAGGTGCTGACCAGGCTCATCGTTGCTTAACTTCGGTGAACGTAATAGAAACGGTGTTTAAACGTGATACGACAGTAAGCCTCGTAAACATCAGACAAATGTATACTGACTAAATTTCCACCATTTTGTTTTGCTCTCGACACAAAGATGTTAATTGCTGAACTTCGATCTTCCGACAAAATCTGGTGACAGACCACTTTTACTACTAACATATCGCTGGAATTAAATTTTGTTGTTAAACATATCTTAGTCAAATGGTATGTTTTGTTAACTCCACACACGCACATACATACATACATACATACATATATATATATATATATATATATATATATATATATATATATATATATATATACACACACACACACACACAATCGCGTATCATGCGACTACTGAAGACCTAATTTTGGAGCTACGTTTAAGGGGGTCGCATCATACACGAGATATAAAATTAGCGTATGTACTGCTGACCATGGCTACACCGTTGACCAAAACATCCATTTACTTAGTCAAATTAGCTTCAAAATTAGGTCTTCAAAGGTCGCATGATACGCGAGTATATACCATATATATATATATATATATATATATATATATATATATATATATATATATATATATATATATATATATATATAATGGGGGGGGTCATCAGTTTCTATATCTTGTTTTATATAACATTTGCATTTGTATGTATGTAAGACGAGATAAAGGATATGCAAATCGTTAAAATCTTAAGATACATACGCATATTAACGCGTGTAAAAAAAAAAAAAAAAAAAAAATCTGTACATACACGTATCCTGTACACACACATATTTGAGTCGATATCTAAAAGTCAATGCAAGATATCAGTTTTGAAGGGAAAGACGCTTTTTTATTTGGCTGTGATGTTGGAACTGATGTTTTTATCTTTAATATATCTTAAAAGATTTATCGTTATTCACAGTACATTCTTGAATGATGGCGCCCATCTTGACAGTCTAATTTCTGTTCATTATTTTCCATGTTCAAAAACGATTTCAGATCTTTTTAGTTATTTTTTTCAATAATGCCATCTAGTTAGTATATAATACTCTCTGCTTACTACCTTGGTTTTTTTTTTTTTGTCTCAGTTGAAAATTCTATTTTCATTAATTATTCAGTATCCACCTTTTTGGGGTTTTTGATCTTGACGTCTTGATAAATGAGATTGGTTCTGTAACCACCATTATTTTTAATCAACATCCGCCATTTTGCTTCTTTTATTTTTCTTTTTTTTTTTTTTTTTTTTTTTACAAGTCTGCTACAAATATGTATATTTAATTTTTTTTTCTCTAACTTTTGCAAGGATTTTAGTCAGAATTATTGATAGATACAAGCCCGGACTGTTTCCGGTTAGACAGCGAGAAATTAATAAGAATTAGGGTGGACGCTTTTGTGAAAATAATTGCTGGGTGAGGCAAAGAAAGTCCATAAGACATAGCGGTCAAAACGTTTCACTGATAACAAGGACGATAACTAATTTGAAAAGCCATCAATGAGTTGCCTGAATGGCTTATTTTATATTTCGTGTCCTATCAAGATGAGTGCAATCATGGATCGCCAAAACTTCTTATCCTTTGTAGCACATTTTTCTCCCTGTTTCTCCTAGTATGTTCTGCCCCAACTTTTATTACAAGCACGTTAGGTATGTTAATCGTTGCTACCCCTGTCTCCTCATAGTCAATGTCCTATGAGCGTCAAATTCTCCAAGCCCTCTTTCCTCATTATCTATCCCAGAAATTTCAACTGTCTCTTTCTGATTCCAAGCATAAGTGCCCTTTTTGTCCCCCATTTTTTTAACATGTTCCGTCAGTGAGATTCATAGCATTCTTCTGCAAAACTTCAAGTCTCATGTTTATCTGTGAGGAAATTATCCAGCATTCACTGCCATATGTATAGCTGGCCAATCCACGAGTAGTGACCAGCTTCGAGTCTACTAGTGTGTCTAGCCAATCCCTATTGCAGATGCTTGCTCAGGCGCATTTATGTTTATTCAACACCTACAGAGCCCACCTATGGTTTATACTGCAACTATGCTGAGCAGACCTTAGTCACAGTTTCTAGAAGAGAGCGTGTTATCTAGCATGATCACCACTTTGAGCAAGGCCAGCACACTCAAGCCCTCGGCTACGATGACTTGTGACTTTGTGCTAGCACAGCTATCGACGGCCTTCAAGGGTTTTGTCTACCCATTTTCACTCACAAGGCTTAGGTCAACTAGTGGTATGGTTTTCAGCAAATGTGTCGCACGCTGAGATCGATCCTTCTAGTCCGATAACATCAGGAAGTCTCCTTACTGACAAATCTACCATGGTGAAATTCGAACCCCGGTCTCATGGTCAGAATGCGAATGTTCTAAACACTCGTCCACGTACCCACATACCATATAGAAGACTTGATATTGCATAAAACTTCATCATTCTTCTCTTTGTTTCCAAAAAATTTTCTGTTTCTTGATATTTTGTCTAGCCTTTTAGAAGGCATCTTTCGCTATTCCAAAGCGCCTTCGGATTTCGGTGTCATATTTTCCGTCGTTTATTTTAGCACTTCCCAGATATTTGAATTTATATATTGATTCAGACGTCTCTAATTTATTCCTCGCATCTTGGACAGTTCCTCTTCCTAATCACCTTCGTCTTATCATTAATGGTTAGTCATTTTTTCTTTCCATTTTCCTAGCCTAGAAATATCTTCAGTTTTGTTTTTCTGTGCCTTTTCAATAAGAAGTTATCTTAAATTGATTGTGTCCACCTATAAAAAATCTTAGTAGAATTTCTAGTTTTCTTAGTATTGCCTCGAGGTGTAGATTAAATAGATCTGGTGATAATAAGCGTCCTTGCTTTACAGCCCTTTCTAGTTTTATGTCCTTGGTCGATTCATTTTCTCTCTGTGTGTAAGAGTTTTTTTTTTCCCCCTTAATCAAACTGCATTAGCAGTGAAGACGTTGGTTTCCAAACAAGACAAACGCCACCGTGTAAATCCAGTTGGTTGGTTTTGTTTTATGGCATATC